ACCACAGAATCAAAAATAAGTAAAAACAAATTGCGTTGAGAACAATCAAGACCAGAAAATGCCCTAAGTTGAACTCACTCTGATTGCAAATCTGATATACTGTAACTGGACTGTTAATGGTCTTTCTACCAATATATTATATGCCAGTTGACATCCCTGGCTTGGCTTGAACTATCAACATTAATTGTCACATAGTTTATCCATCACCAAAAACCAATATTTATATTAAAATTCCAAACTTTGGAAATTATAGTAAAATTTAAATATTTAAAAAATGTGAATTCTAGGCTAATGCAGATTAAATACTAGTAATTCAGTTACTGAAGTAAATAGCAAACTCCAGAGTCTAAAGCTACACACAGGGGCATAGGAACCGGGGGGCACGTGCACCCTCTCCAAATTTTTTCAAAGGACTAAAAGTGCCCTTTTTGTATAAGCTAATGTCGCTGTAAATACTAAATTAACATCAAAGGTGCCCTTTTTGTTTGCCAACATTTCTGGGAAAAAATTTTTAGGTGCCCTTTTCAATATCTATCCTAAAATGCTCCTGGAAGCCGGTGCCCCCCACCCCCAATCTTGAGATGCTTCCTACGCGCCTGGCTACACATCTCGTATATAAAGTTTGTAAACATCATAGGCATCGAAAAGAATGGATAAGTGGGGGAGGGGCATATTCATATATTCGTGTTCACAGACCTTAAAACAATAGATTTGAAAAGAAATTAATAATGCAGAACACAAATATATGAATATGCCCCCCCCCCCACTTATCGATCTTTTGAAGTCTATGGTAAACATAAAGTTTTATTTGGATGGTTTCTTCCGCTTCTTTACGGGCACATCACTGACTTGACTCCACTTCTGCTTCTCGTATCTTCCACCAACATTGCCTCTCAATACTGGGGGCAATATCTCTCTGGGCCGCAATGGTCAAGTCATTGTACCCAAACTGCTGTGCCGTTGGGTTGTCTGCACGTCCACCTTTTGCTCTCTGGTGTCCGAAGTAATCTTCCAGCACATCTTGCATAAAACGCTCACTCAATACATACTTGAACCCTTCAGCAAGCAAAAACTGAATAGCCTCAATGTGTGAGTGGACATAAATCGTGAGGCCTTTGTAAGTTTGTAGCGAAAGAAACATCTTACCCCTTTCATCAGCAGTGTAGACTCCCTCTCGTTGCATGATGCTCTCTCTCCACTTTTCCAAATATTGCAGGAAGACATCCTTCAACCAAGCAAATCTCTCATCATCTTGGGAAGTGTAAGGTTTGATGAAATGATTTCTTCTTCTAACATGCTCAGTCAATGACCTAACATTTGTGCAGTCGAAGAAATCATTCATCATCTTACAAAATTCAGCTGTACCAAGAACATCCTCGTCATCTTTTTCTTCCAATGCTGTTGCAACCGACTGACTAAGAACTTGCGTTGCTAACTTCACCTTCATTTTGCTGTATGAAGTGAGGACTATATGATCCAGTGACAGCTTTGGCAATGTGTGCAAGGCAAATTCCTGGTCACTGTAGAAAAGGTCAGCAATGTGTTTGAACATCAGGTATCTGCCATTGTTCCACATCAGACGACTGCAAGAACCTGAACCCGAGTTGTATAAGCAATTCCGGGCAGTCTTCATTAAATGGCAGGCATCAGCAAAAAAGTAGATGAAGCGAGTTGTGGCAAAAATATTGTTTACCTTGTAAACAACATCACAGTCCGAGTCATTCACATACTGGGAATGGAGTTCAAAGAACTTACGATTAGGGGATGCTCCATCGTTGACTGCGGCAATGACCCAGAGGTTTAATGACAACTCAAGCACTCCTACAACTTTCCAGAACATGGACATTATCTGGTTGGAGGTAACATTTTCGGTAAAATAATATGCGATGACATGGTTGATGTCACTGCACATTCCTCTTACCAAAAATGCAAGTGCATGAGTTGCCATTACATCTTCTTCACCGAGGCTGGCATAATTAGTCATTGGGTCCCCAAGATCAACAAACCCAATCAACTCACCAGAATACTTGTCAAAGACGAGGTTAAACTGGATTTTCATCTCATCCATCACCAACACCAGATATCGTTGAATGCCTGTTAATGCGGCAGCTTTCTCACGTAAAGACTCAATGTTCTCCAAATTTATGCCAGCTTTAGGCTTAAAATAGTTCTTGTAATCACGAAGAACTCTCTCACTGGGCAAAATCAAAGCTCCACTCTCTTGTAATTCTCTGTACGCAGCTGCAGACTTGCCATGCAAAGACAATGCAAAGCGAATAACTTGTGGGTGGTATCGTCTTCCCATTTTTCGAGTTTGCAACAGTTTCATCTGCTGCTCCCAAAAAAACTTCATGTGAGGAGTACATTCTAGATTCTGTCCTCCCATAATTTTTAGAATGTCATTTTCAAGAGCATCACTAATTCCTACCCCGTCTTTTTCAATTCTTTCCTCCAGCAGTCTGACTTTGTCCTCCAACTGCTTGCACTGTATGCGGGACGCTTTAACAGTTGCTACCAGCTTTTCTGGGCCACAGGCAGCAAGAGAGGCTTTACTTTTTGCTGGGACTGAGGAAACCTTTCTCTTTCTAGCTTCTGATTTCTTTAAGGTACTACTGGTCATGGAGCATGGTTTGCACTGTTCTTTTGAAATGTTGTCCAAAATAACATTGCAATTTGGGGAACGAAATGTCACATCTGACTGAAAATGGGTATCACAAATCGATTTGGGAACAGAATGTCGAATAACAGTGGACTGAGTGAAGTGGGACAACTTTTCATTCCAAGTTGGATCAACTGCTACAGTTCTAACAACATCATGATCTTGTGGTAAGCTTTCACAAAGGTTAGAATTTGTGACAAACTTTAGCATTTCTATGGCATCGTCCAAGGTTTTGAGGCATTTCTTTCTTTCTAATTGGTATATACTGTGGTTGTCTGGAATTGGCCAGTTGTATACATATACAGTAAATTCTAACCTTTCATTTACACCTATTGTAAATTTTGGGATGCTATGGGACTCGTCGTAGTACTCGAACTTCGCGCCTTCCTCGTTACGAGCTTTCACCGTCCAGGGTAAAATATGCTTTCCGATCATATATTTCTGAAGATCTTCGAGCGTTAATGTCGGCGATACATCGGATGAGGACGTTGATGGCGTGTCAGCAACACTGGCCCTCACCAAAGTTCGACGCTCTTTCGTAACTTTGTCATGACTTTTGGTCGGCAAGTTCTCAGTGGGATTGCTTCCAGTTACTAAGACCTTTCTTTTTGGATCTTAAAGTAAATTTAGATACAGCAATGAGCAAATTTTTATATGCATGAATAGCCCTTTGTTCTAGTCAATCACGAGTGTAAATATAACAAGACGCACGAAATGCAAACAATAATACTCACATGTTAGAATGCATTCAGGTTTGAAGTGTCTTTCACAAATGTAGATGTTCTTTGCCTCTATACTTTTCTTCAATTCTGGCGTTGATTCTCGGGTTCTTAGAATTAAATTTAACCAAGCTTGTCTCGTGTTGTTTTTCAAATCAGACATTTCCTTGCTTTCGTCTGCGCGAGCGGACGGTATTTTAAACAGCGAAATTCCATGTTTTCGGCTCGTTGGACAGCCATAAAACGCACAATTTTCGCCAGGCATGGCTTTTAACCCGCCATACAAACAAATAAATAAAACAAATACTAAAAGGAAATTTTTTAAATCCAATATTTTAACGCTGTTGATAGTGTTCGCTCTATAAGGTCGCAGTGGAATTTCCTAAGTGATGCAGGCATGGGACCACGTGACCAAAATATATTGGGTTGAATAACATATTTATCACGTGACCTGGCTAGCCTAACCATTTCCCTCGATTAACTGTGGTTTGATCCTTGACCTTGATAACTTTGGTATCATTGGTTTTCTCTTTTTCGGCCGTACACCAGTGGATTCGTCTCACTTCTCTCTTCATTTTCATAATATTTTGAGCCCAAAAGCCCCCAAATATTTTATTTTGAACGTTTTAAACTGGCGGCCGACAGAAGAATGTAGCGTACTATAAAATATAACTTTACTTGTATAGGCATAAACGCCGGAAGTTTCCCCTTAGCTCCGGGCCAGGCTTAATTTCCACACCAGGCTTAATATACGCACGTAAAACTTTAAATCTGTAAAATAACCAAATAAATAAAGCAACAGAATTTACTGCTGCGCAAGTTTTAGTATGAATTTGTTAACTTATTTGTAATATATTTAAAAATAGAAGGATTCAAAGTTTTTCGTGCGTGTACGTGCGTACGAAAAACGCAACAGTGGAAATCAGCCTTTAGATCTTAACAGTAATGTGCGTCAGTTGTGTTTATCCCAGCGAGTTAACGCTCCACAGAGCGTCTTGTTCTTGTATATTTTGAGTTGATTTTGTATGAAAGTAGCAAAACGAGCTCGTGTTGATAACAAAGTCTGAGGCTCTCCACTCCTTCAGAGTTGTAAATCCCGTTTCGCGGCGTTATAAAGCCATAATACTCCAAATGTTTTGCTCAAAATTCTTCTTATATGCTTCTATCTTTGTGATTGTAAAATTGGCCCGGTCGGAAACGTAGCCAAGGCAAAAAACGTGAAAAACTACTGTCTGTAACACAAATTGTCCATATATGTTTTTTCTGTGTTTTAATGTTTATTGGCAAAGTTAAATAAATAAATTTATACAAAAGTGGGGCCCCAGAATCGGTTGGCGGCCGGTGACTTCCGGCTTCACTTTTGTATACTATAGATGCGTTAACCAGTCTTATTTCAGATCGGTGGTCGATAGCTACAAAATAGAATATTAATGAGCTGCCTAGTTTTCACCCAAATTATCCATAAGGCTCCTGTCAATTTTACCCAAATTATCCATAAATAACCCTGCATTTTGAGGAAATTCGGGAAAATTGAACAATTCAGGCAAGGAATTTCGACATGGAAACAGCAAGTGGGCAAACAATTTCGTGAAGTGGGCAACTAAGTGTTTCAAACAATTTCGTTAAAATTTTCAACGAATTGTACCTGTTTTCTATGGATGTTGCATTCTGTCTAACTCTGGACATTCTTGCTAGTTTAGTTAATGCATTTTTCTTGGTGCACGACTCTGAAAATCCGAAATTTGGATCGTTAAATTCCCGTGCACGATCATGATATACTGAATCTGAATCTAAACGAGCCAAAGACAATTTCAAGGTAAAAGGTTATAACTTAAACTACACAACGTAGTTTTATAATAGATAAATACTTTATGAGAAACATATTGGTGTCATATCAATATAAAATTTATCCAACAACAGTCCCTTTATATGGTTATAGCTGTGGAAAGGTGAAAGCTGTAGTGTGAAACATGATATTGTATTTGTAATGCCTATTAATGGCGCAATATAAGGATAAAAATACCGCCGTTCGATTCAGCGGAAGAAATTGTAGGCCTACTTACGGATGTAAAATGTATTTATACTATATAAACAACAGTATTCTAGCGATTTATGACCTTTGCCTTTGAAAGCCAAGCGAAATTGTATTAATTTGTTGATAAATCGCTCAAAATTATTAAACTAATTATAAAAAATGCAGTGCGTTTGATCCATGATAACTTTGGTATCGTTGGTTTTCTCTTTTTCGGCCGTATACCAGTGGATTCGTCTCACTTCTTTCTTCATTTTGATAGTATTTTGAGCCCAAAAACCCCAAAATATTTTCTTTTGAACGTTTTAAAGCGCAGTTTATAATCCTTGCGTATGGACCAATTGGCGGCCGACAGAAGAATGTATCTAAAGTGTACTAAATATGACTTTACTTGCAGTCGCAGACGGAACGCCGGAAGTTTTATTTGTAGAGCACCGCATTTTAGTACTGTGTTAAACAGCCTTGTGCGCTCGTATTCGACTTTTCCGCTTAGCTCGGGGACAACCTTAAATCTTAATTGAAATAGCTGTGTACTTGCAGTATGTATCATATACATTAATGTGCGTATTTGTATATAGCCTCAGCGAGTTAACGCTCTATAGAGCGTCTTGTTTTGTCTGTTAGGTCACAGTCGTCCCGGGCAGCAATGCTTGATGTTTCAATTCTTGATGTTGGAAATTCGGTTTTTAAATTAGAAGCTAATTGTCCAACTTTTTCAGCACAAGAACGTGTCTGCTGTGTCAACAGGCAGGTGGTTTGTTCCAGTATGAATTATAATGTGGGACGGTGTTGATTTTGACTTGATTTGGTCTAATTGGTTAGACATCTTTTGCGGTATTATATGTTTGATTATTGAGTCCCCAATATTAACAATTTGCCTTTCTCGATCTAAGTTCATGTTGTTTTGGGGATCATTATGGTTATTTGATGGTATAACTCTGGCTTACTTTCTATCATATGTGTACCTGAGTCTTTCCGGTTAGGCTCTTGTTCGTTGATCAGGTTACATCCAACAATGACTTCCTCCTCAGCTACTTAAGTACCAGTCCCAAACCTTCCTCGACAGTTTCTTATTTGTTATTATCAGTATGTTCACTGTCATCCTCTACTGTAAGTATTTCAAAGGCATTCTTGCATTCAAGTGTGTTTCCAAACTGTAGTTATGAACTTTTTGGTTTTGCCATGCCAGAGTGTTGTTTTAATTTATCATCAACATTGGTGAAGGTACCAATTTCATTGTTACGCCAGTCGTTCATCACAATTTCTTTTCCTTGTAAGATTTTAAGTGCAGTCACTAGACTTTGCTTTTCTTCATCTAACAATTTAAGTTTGGTATTAAGATCTGACTTTACCATAGTGGTATACTCAATTTTTCCTTTAAGGGCAGTATTTTCTTTCTTGAGATTTCCATTCTTATGTTTTGTATCAGTAATATAGTCATGTGATATCTTTTCATGAAGGTCACCAGCCTCCTTTAAGTTGCATACCTGCTGTGCTACGTCATCATTTTTTGTGTTTAGCTTCTCCTCGATAGTTAATATTCCTCTCTACAATTTGTGCAAAAGCATCCGCCTCACTCAGTTCAGACGAATTTACCTCATTTATTACTGTTAGGTTAAGACACTCTTTCTCTATTTCGTTAACAGCGTGGCCATCCATGCCGTCTTCAAAAGTAATTCTTGTGTTCTGGTCAGCTAAATTTTTCGGATATTGAGTTCAATGTCATTACTCATTAGTTGTTCCTCGATTGTTCCTATGGTGTCCTCGCTGACCGTTATCGTTTTCCAGTTTCCATACCACTTAATTTTTGGTACAGCATAGCATCACCTCTAGGGGAGAGCCATTTCCCGCCTGTTAAGTTCAATGTTTCTTCTACGAAAGCTTGTAGTTCATGAAATGATCCGGTCCATAATATTTTCCCATTTTAATTTTTTATTAGCAAGCTATTAAGACACAAGTTGTGTATAAGACTAGCTTTCTCCTTTATTTTCTTGATTCATTTCAGCTGATATCGATTTACACGTGAATGTATTCGACGAATCGTTTAATTTTCTCAACCAATTGTAGGGATTCAGGTTTGTTTAAGGATAAACAAGCTTAATAGCCGCTAATTTTAGTAAATTTGAAATAGATCGCGTAAAGATTGAGCCAAGATTTAACACAAAAATGTTAAAATGTAGCGGAGCTCGAAGTTAGACGTCCGCACTCCGGTGCAATATTGAATTAATCTATAGATTTAGAACTACAATCTTCAGTATTCTTCAAAATCGGCACCAAAGGTGGGGAACCATCCTCGAATTTAACAAGGGGGTGTTGGAACAGTTTTTAATCTCCAATCATTAATGAATAAATTAAAGAAATGTGGTCCAGTTACAGTTTCTTGCATAACTCCCTTGTTGCTGTCTTTCCACTCGCATGTCGTTCCTTGGAAAACTGTTCTCTGTCTTCGATCTTTAAATAAATTTAAGTACCAATTTACTAAGTAACTAAGTACCAATTTACTAAGGTCCGGTTGTATCAAGCTCGTTTGGCTTAAACGGTGGATAAGTCAAAAGTAAATAACACTCTTATATCTTTCGTGAATCATTCAACTTAAATATTCTGCACAGAATATATAGTTGTAACCATTATCGTTCTATTAAGGTTCAAAACTTTTAGTTTGGTTGTTTAATAAATCTATAGACTTGCTTTCTATTTTGAGCTTAACCACCGTTTAAGCTAAACGGGCTTGATACAACCGGCCCCAGAATATTTACAAGCTATATGTACAGCATCCTCGTCCGCGCTTTAGCGAGCATACTACCATCCACCTTCGTCTTGAGTTTGTATACAGTCGTGCAATACGGACGCGAATGCTGTATATATTACTTAAACGAAGCGTAAAATATCCCAAATTAATATAAAACAAAAATTTTGATTAAAGTACTGAGTCTTGAAAAAAAAAGCAGAATCTTAGCCCAGCTTCGTTTGAACAAAAATTGGTTTAGAAATCTATTTGTTCCACTGGGCTTTCCGTTAAAGAAATCCCAGTTAGAGCAGGGATTTTTCTAAATATGACTGGCCTTCACCATAGTCTTTATGTTCCCAACCATAAAGCGCCTGGATATGAGGTAGTGAAAAGCCTACTACTAAAACAGTTACTCTAAATGATCTGATAAGTCATTTTCGTACTGTTGGAGGAGGCGTTTATTGTACATAACAAGGCATATTACATGTAGCAAAATTACGCCTGT